CTGGAACGTTGCATTAATAAGAGATGATAAAAGGTTCCGCATGATGCGGGAGAAAGAAATGACCAGACACGTATAGAAGATAAAAAAAAATAAATAAAGAAGAGGAAGAAGGGAAGAGGATAGGAGAAGAGACAAAAGCAATGATTTGTTACTATGCTAGCAGACATGGGGGTCTTGTTTCTCAAGGGATTTGCCACCAAAGTTGAATTTATTGATGTTTGTAGCGTTACCATAGTTACATCTTCCTTACTTGAAATGACGTTTGAGGTTTGTAGAATAAAACCAATTGGCTGACTTGGGAGATTTATACTTTGATATTCGATTCATCATCCTTCCATTTATTTTCTTCTCGTAAACTAAACATTAATTACATTTTTTTAAAATTATTTCGATTAAACTTGGATATGTTTTAATATGTTTACTTACAAAACTAGTTAATTTAGAAAATGTTACGCCCAAAATAAATTTAGGAAATAAAAAAAAAAGCTATAATAATTAAAATTCTTTCTTTTTTTTCTTTTTTTAATCTAAATTTTTTCTTATTTTTTATGAACATTAATGGCTTCTGGAGAATAAGAAAAACCATCTAACTCTCCATTAATGCTAGGAAAAAATTTTAATAAGTTTTTCTAAGAAATTTTCTTGTTATTTTTTTGTTTTTTTTAAACGTGGAAATTCAGATTTATTTACATTCCTCTTTTATTTTATTGTCGATTGAACGAGGTGAAACTGTTATATTTCGTTTGTTTACTCTCCTTTTAAACGCTTCTACATCATTGAATTTTTTAAAAGTTTATTTATGAATTTATTTTAATTTTCCAGATGAATATAAATATATTTTTTATCCTACAAAGCTTAGAATTACCCTGTCATTCTATTATCATATCATTTATCTATATATAATAATTTATTATAAATTATAACTATAGCATCTCATGATTCCGCATCATCAAATTTCTTAAAGATTGATTTATAATTACTTCAATTTTTTGCTCTAACAAATTTTGAATTGTATCATTTATTTATATATAATACCATTTTTATTATATCTTTAACGATTATACCATTATAAATCGTATATTGTAGCGTTTCCTTACACCATTATACACTAGTGTAGAATTGTCTGATTAGTGTAAAACTCGGCATGCAACTATGTCTCAGACAGGTATGCAAATGATTATGGTTGTGTACGATTACACGCCAGGTAATGCCACTAGAATAGCTTAAAATTGCTACTCCAGTACCTTATAAAATGGCTTACCAAGTTCAGAACCTTCTTTGTACCTCCTGTTTGGAGGTCTATTCGACACAGTCAAAGACATTAAACACAATGGAGTTTGAGAGGTTGATCTTCCACACTTTCATGATCCTAGATTAGTGTTTCTCAATCTTTTTTGACCTTTGTTCAAGGCCGCATCACCGAGTCGAGAGAAGCAGGGTGGTTTTTTTGCCGAATTTTCCTCTATGTGGGCCGTTCTGACCCGACTTTCAGGGTGTTTTGGGAACAATAGATACGTCAGGGCACCTCTTACACGGCAGACAGGTTCTGGATGCCCCAGACAGACTATCAGGAGACGAACACAAGAGAGTCTATGCTCACCATCCAGAGATAGTGAAAACCTCACTATAGAATCCTGTCTTCTCCCGTATCAAAGGCATGAGACTAGTAGAGGCAGATTTACATGCACTTTGACTCGCGACTTTTAAAAACAAAGAGAGTACTCAATAAAGGTATTCGAGGAATGTCTCGTCAAGTTTCCACGCTTCGTTGGCCTGCCCACTCAAATTTGTCGCCCATCGAGCATTTGCGAAATCAGATTGGACACCATCTACTAGTGTAAGAGATCTAAAAAAGCAGTTTGCAACGTCCGAACGGAAAAACCTATCATAGTATAGCATACGGTGCCCTGTATGACTTCATATCAGACAGTATTGCCGCTTATATCCAAGCAAGATGATATGCTATAAAGTAATAAAGGTAATTTTAAATTGTATAATTGTTCTACGGGAAATTGTCCCTTTGCCTTGGTATTGTAACCACTTATTGCTATTGTCATTACGTTTGCACTAATGAAATTTTATTCGTGATGCGTAACTTTGTCAACGAGTGTAACTGAACTTTTTTTTTTTATAATTTTTGAAGTAAAAATATGTTTATTTTAACACCAAAAAGCCTGAAATTATACCATTTTTCGATATACGAGCACTCGCGCAATGTGTATGTGTATATCACCATTATAATGGAATTATTGCGATTATAATAGTATTACTGTATACGTAATAATACCATATTATTACATCATTATAATTGAATATTAATTGTACTAATTAAATTATACCGTCTTTCTATACGGATATACGCGTAATATACAGTATAGGCCTATGTACTGTCGTTATCATTATCATGTCATTTATGTAGAAATGATACCAATTTTATCATACCATTATACTATTGTAAATCATATTATCATATAATTATAATTATTTTATAATAGTAAATTAAATTATACCAATTATACCATTTTTTCTATACGTAGAATGCTAATATAACTAGAAAATTTCCCTTAAATTATTCTATTATATTTAAATTCTACAAACTTCTTATTTAAAAATAAATTTAAAATTTTTCATTTTAGGATTCGGGAGATCTTGAATCTTCGAAAAATGTAAACAAATTTTGGGTTTTTCTGTATATATGCACGTTACTATGTATATGTGTAGGGGCGCGATTACGTTCACCACTTTAAAGCTTAATAATTTCTGTGCCTTTTGTCCAAAATTTATGAAATTTTTCAGGGAGGTTTGTGTATTAGGGGCATCGATACCATTAAATTTTGGTGGTTAAAGGTCGAGAGGATGGGGAGATAGAGAGAGATCACGTGTTATATCTCGAGTGCGGTTGTACTGTACAGTACTTATGAGAATTTTACTCGTTATTACAATTAAAATTTTTTTTTATAAAACTCGCCTCTACCCTCAAAATTAAGCTATTTGCCATTTTAAAAAGCTTTTTTTAAAAAAATAAAATATGATAATAGATGGCACTATCAAAATTTTAAATGTTGCCGGGAAAGTTGAGCAACTCGTTGCTGTTTTATTTTAATGNTAATAGATGGCACTACACACAAATTCAACTTTTTGCAGGGAAAGTTAGGCAACTCGTTCCTGTTTTTTAAATTATTTCGAGAATTTTTATTTAAATAATAAATTTGAAACGATTTAAACATCGAATTTAACAATTTTAGCATGTTAAATTGTATAGAATTTTAATTTTTAATTAATTAGATTCGAAAAAATAAATCCTTAGAGATGATAATATAAACATATTTAATGCTGATAATATTTATTAATATATCTTAATATAAATTAAGTACATACGTGTTAATTTTCAGCATAATTAATAATTAAGTGAAAATGCTTTAATGTTATTAAAATTTGAACTTTCAATATGTAACACGATAAGCTAGAAACTCTCTAACAATTATTGACAATACTTAAATGTTGTTATAGACTTTGAAGAGCAGACAGAAAATATCATTTATATATATTATAATATACGAAAATATATACAGTAAAACCTGTTGAAAACGGAAACCTTCCAAGCAGGAAGAAATATTTGCTACCGTAGAGTCCGGTTTACACAGGTTTTAATGTAATTTTATGGATAAAAATTCATTAAACTTATGTGTTTAGATGTCAGAATTGTTCGTCTTTATAATTTATTTTCGAAGTCTGGTTGTTTTCGTGATGATGAATTATTGTTTTGTCACGGATGATGGAAGATGATGTCGGTTTCGGCATCGCCATCACTTCCGATCCGGAGTGATCACGGTTTAGATAAGCGGAGGAGGTAAATAGTCTGTCTAATACTTGGCAGCTACAATATTAATTGAGCAGAGAACAATCACGAAGAATTTTGGAATTACTTTTTTTTGGCTTGCTTTGTTGTAAATTAATTAATATAATTACAATTGTTGTTACTGTAGCAGTATCCGAAAAATAGCTTAATTTGCTAGGAAACGGTAACGGTGTTACGTTACTTTCATTAACACGTGATTAATTTTAGTTGACATAGCCCGTCACGTGACCTCCTCTTGCAGTAAACACTCCGTTGATGTTATTACTACTATAGACGTCGGGGAAGGTCTGCCTAAAAATTGAATTACCAGCGGGGGTCGTCGGAGAAGCAGGGGGAAAAGTTATGACGGCATTACGATCACGTGATAAAAATAATCACCCAATCTAATCCGGTATCACGTGATGAAATCTCCAGCGTAGAGGAGAATTTACGAACTCCCCGCGTGATTGGATGTTGGGCGAAAAAATAGGAAAAAATAATAAAAGTTTTCGGAAGGAGAAATGAAAAAGTCGAGGAGTGAAAGAGGAGGAAAGAGAGAGAGAGAGAGAGTGATTATTAAGACAATAGTCGATTGGGTCACGTGGTCCGGATCACGTGCCTTTCCATCCATTTATGCGAGGAAATGTTGAGAGTGGTTTAAATGCACTAAGAAAATTTCGCGCTTCATAAAAGCTGCTTTTCTCTCGGGTTTTATGGCTTTTAATGCTGTTTTCTGCGAGTTGTTTCGTGAGACGTTATTAACGCCAACCTTTAACGCTTGAAAAAACTAAACGTTTGGTATGTATCGCGGGTTGTTTCGGTGATTTTTACGGTCGTGAGTCACGTGGCACGGGAATGGGTTGCGCCATCGTGTCGCATTGTGTCGTATATAGGGTCGCGTCGTGTAATTATACAATGCCAGATAAAATGGCTCGCGTGACATAGATCGAACACGTTTAACATATCACGTGCACCTCGGAGTCACGTGAGGCGCGGCTAATTAAAACGGGGTATAAAACGCCCATTAATACAAGATGATGTGGGTGACGAATGATCCCTTGCGAACGTGCAATTGTTAATGTAATAGTACAGAAGACAATTATAAAGAATATTGTTTAGCGATGCAATTAGGAGAACTGATTGTTTTCTTTTGTCCCCGCAGGCATCTGTCTATTCGACCGCTCTCAAGACACTCATCAGCGTGTCCACCTTGTTGCTGCTGGGACTAATCATTGCCTACCACGCCCTGGAGGTGCAGGTAAGGTCAATGACCCTTCTTTCCTTCTTTCTTTCTTATTTTGCTGCAGTCACGTGAACAAACACCGACAAACAGGACGTAGCTTCCTGCCGGAAACGACACCACCAGAATCTTCTATCCGCGTGGCCAAGCATCTGGAATCGAATTCATCCATCATATTAGCAGGGGGGAAAGCGTTGTAGAAATTAACGAAATATATGTTATAACGGGTAATTATTTTAATAGAAAATATGAAAAGTTTTATATATTTTATTATCACGTGATACAAATTCCTTTCAACCGTTTGGTGCAGTAAAAATAAATAAAAATAACACAAACGAGGAAAAAAAGAACTTATATTTTAAAGAGAAACGTATCATAAAGTTCAGAAAAAGTATTTACTCTTCATAAAATACTTTTTATAGTATATAGAAGAATTTTTATGGAACTTTTAATATAATCGACTTTATAGTTTAGTATTAAACTCTACGATCACATGACTTTACTAAACTTGAAAACTATCTTTTTTATTATTATTATTTTTTTCTTGTTTCAAACTACAACAGAAAATAATCNATTTCTAGCATCTAATATTATCTTAAAACGAAGCAAAGAACGGCGCAAATGTTAAACGCAGTTTGCAAATTTCAATTCCATCTAAAAAATTGGAAATTACATTGGCTTCAAAACCATTGAAAGAAATAACCAATTATTTAATCACTTGGGTAAATCATCTCATTATATTTTTTTTTTTTTTTTTTTTTTCGATTGCAAATTTAAATTCTATCTAATTCAATAATTATTTTTAAATTAACTAGCATACAAATTGAGTAAATTAAACTTTCAATCACGTCACGACAGTATAATTGAATAGATAAAATTATTTTAATTAGGTTAATCCTCGGATTAAAAACGTGCAAAAATTATAAACAAGGCGCCGAGTTATCTTATCTCCAGAGATATAATTATATAGGAATTAACTTTTCGAATAACTCTATCGCAAAAGCGATTTATCCGATCGTGTAATGCCCCATTTAAAAAAATAAACTCGACTCACGTGATCAAAACTATAATCATTTAAAGAGAGAAAAGGAAATTGGGAAGAATAAAAAACTATAGAGAAAGAGAGAAAACGGGCATCGATTTGTTACTATAGAAGTGAAACGGTATAAAGATCTTTACAGTGAATTATATATTAAAACGTGCAGTAGATCCAATAACAAGACTAATTTTATTAGGGTGGATATTTCTTTGGATGAGAGTATCACGTCCTAAGTCCCCTGTAAATGAGCTTTCTCCTTCGAATTCTGTAGCCAGAAGGGAAAAACAACACGCGTCATCTCCTCTAGAAAATTTATTCTAAGGGAAAAGATTAAGCGGGAAAGGAAAATGTCAAGTTGTTTTGATACTGCTTCCCTATGCACGTTATCAACAACGATAAAAAGCTTCACAGTGCGTCACGTGATCGATGAGGAATTATTATTTTTATTTTTATTATCATTCTCGCACGTAGTTAAAATTTATAAACAGACTTTTGGACACTTATTATGGGCTTGTTTATAACTTATGCAATATATTTTAGTATTATTATTAACTTTTTTATCGTTTCATTAAGTTTAATTATGATTTTTTTAAGTAAAGCTGACGTGATATGAAATTGTTTTATCAAATAAATTATTCCTGATGGATAATTAACAAGAAGTGAAGTGATTTTACTCAATTATCTCGTAACCTTGTTCAGTATATATATATATATATATAAAATTAATAATTGTAAATGTTTAATATTTAATTCGAAAATAACTAGTAGAAATTATATAATTAGTATTAAATAAACTTAAACAATTTTGGAATTTTTAGAGTATTTACAATGAAAATAATAGAATTTTGTCCCTTATTACGTGATATAACTTTAACAAAACAAATTACAACTGATCGATACTTATCACTAATACATCGAAACAATAAAAAAGGTCAGAGTTTATCCTCTTGATTTGATGTTATCAACCTCTTGCGCCCTGACAAATCTACACACAATCGTCTCAATAACGTTACGTGCGTATGAACTAAGAATAAAAATTTCGTAAAGTTAAAACTCAGTTTATCAAAGAGTACATCAAGATTTTGATTAATTATCCAATAAAAGAGGGTTGGGCCCCTTTCTCCGTAGATAATTTGGATGTGTGTATGTGTGTATGGCTGTGACACACAAATGTTTTAATTGACCTTCGAGTAACCTAATCTCATGAACTTCCGTTGTCATGACAACTGGCGCACGACTCGCCCAGTAGTACGTTGAACTCCCCCCGTGCATGTCACTGATCGATTTTGCTTGTGAGTAAACACCTGACCTCCATCTCATCTGTTAGTTTCTTCCACTAAATTCGAGAAAAAAAAGACACAGACACAAACACAGAAAAAAAAGACTACGTATTGTGACATTTGCCAAACTTAATCACTTCTTAAACAAGTTCTTTTATAGATTTTTAACACTTACTTCCGATTGTTTTATATTTACTGTGTGTGTGTTTTTATATCATAAAAATTATTAACTGATTAAAGTAATTTAAAATGATTTTATAAAGTTGTTTTAAATACATTTTAAAAATAAAAACTTATTACTTAAATAATTTATATATAAATATTCTATTCATACACCGAACTAGGTTAACTGATAAGGAATTTAATTAATTTTCTTCTGCTCTAAAATCGAAAATTTTAATAGAAAAATAGGGAAAATAATAATAGAAAATTATTTACATTCAGCCCATTATCCATTTTAGAAAACTTCTGATCTAATTCTTAAAATTATTCCATTTTAAACTTGCAAAATAGTTAGTCGTTATCGTGGTTCTTACATTAGTTTTCTGTTACATCGTAAACTCTTCAGCGTTACTAAATTTAAAATTCACTTTACTCGATCATTCAAAAATGTATAAAATATAAATATCTTCTTTGCTTAATTACCCATTTAAATATTAGTTATATCATTATCTTAATTACTTAATATTTGAAAATGTGAAATAAAACTTTCTCATTACATTTTAAGGAAAACAATTTTAAATGAATATATATATATATATATATTTTTTCTTTTATTCATAATTTCTCTCCATCTTCCGAACCATCTTCCACTTGTATTCTGAATTTACATATAACTTGAATTATCATCAAAATTCACCACCCTAATGCAATATATATTAAATAAATAAGAATTTCTTTCTTAAAATATGCATCTTGTATGATTTCTTAAGTCTTTCTTTCCATTTTTTAACCCCTTAAAAATATAGATATATGTGTGTTTTTACTAGAGGAACGTGATTCAACTTCAGAAACACGTGAAATATTTCCTTTAAACTTCAGGAAAGATGTAAAATTTGTAAATGGATATTTTAGTAAAGATGTGAACATGAATATTTAAATTTAATCATGTTTTTATAGTTTCATTTCGTATGATTTTAGATAACTTTCTCTTTTATCTTCCTACTCCTCTTCTCCATCCTCCTTCTCTTTTCCATCTTATAACGCCTTAAAAAATAAAATATATAAAGCATTCGTTTTTAAAATATCAAATTTATATTTTAAATATATTTTTCTATATTTTATATTCTTATTTTTAAAGTTCTTGGGAATAGAAAAAGCGTTGTAAAGAATTTATCTTCGTACTATTGAAGAATGGAGAGATTCAAAAATCGACCCGTTCACCTGTTGAACGTTTGTACTTTTTTCTATAATTTTATAAATTACACTTTTGGACTTGTTGAATGTTGACACACACACACACAAAAAAAAATAAAGAATTATAGCTAAAAATTGGACAAATTCTGCTATAATTGACACGAGATGGCAGATTAAATCGATCGAAATAAACGAATAAAAATCGATTTAAAAGTTAAAAAATTCGGTACATTTCATCTGTTTATTAAATAAAATTGCGTAAATGTAATTAAAAATTCAAAAATATTTAAAGAGATTTAAAAATTTCAAGTATGTAAACAAAATTTAAGGCATTTTTTTACAGTAAACACCATTAAGATTTCGACAGAAATGCTACAGAAATCCTTAGAAGAGAGAGAGAGAGAGAGTACTCAGGTTTGCTGGATTAAAAAAAAAATAACCTGGAACGTTGCATTAATAAGAGATGATAAAAGGTTCCGCATGATGCGGGAGAAAGAAATGACCAGACACGTATAGAAGATAAAAAAAAATAAATAAAGAAGAGGAAGAAGGGAAGAGGATAGGAGAAGAGACAAAAGCAATGATTTGTTACTATGCTAGCAGACATGGGGGTCTTGTTTCTCAAGGGATTTGCCACCAAAGTTGAATTTATTGATGTTTGTAGCGTTACCATAGTTACATCTTCCTTACTTGAAATGACGTTTGAGGTTTGTAGAANGTATGATTGAACAGTAATTGAAACTTTATGTAGACATGAGTTATTTCAATGAATAAATTGAGATTCAGAAAGTTTAATTAGTTATATGCGAAATGGTACTGACAGGGATTTTCCACTAGCAAAACTCAAAATTTATGGATAAATCTACAATCTTTCTATAATTTTAATGCGAGTAGAAATATTTGAAATGATAAATTATTAATAATGAAGATTTAACACAAAAAAGAAATTGTTAGAGAGATAATTGAATAAATAAATAATAATAAAAAAAAGACCAAGTATTTGATGAGCTTAGACAACAAACGCGAATTTTGGTTGATTTAAGCAGAGAGCGTCACCCACGAAATTGCTACATTCCACAACTTCCTATCTTTAGCTTTCCCTCTTTTACTTTATCTTCTCGTGGATATCTACTTTGGAATGTTTCTGGTCTAATCTCCAACCGTTACTATAGCAACCGAAGATCAGTAGAACTAGAAACATATGACGTCATGATGATTAGAAGATTCTGTGCCCTTTTTTCAATCTGCTAGAAATTCTCTTTCTGTTTTTTTAAACCTTTTACAAGAGATGAAATCATTATCATCTTTTTGTAATAATGTAAATTTGTTCCTTATTTTCAGAA